AATATTTTTATCCAGTGTGGGCTGAAGAGAAAGAAATACACAATCTTAGCATTTATTCTTTCCAGAAAGGAAGGCTTTGAGGTCAGGAGTTATTTTGTTTCAGCAGGAGCCTCCCAGTGTATTATTAAAAACTCCCCAAACTTCTGCACTAACAAAATGAGACACCCGGCAGCCTGAAAGCGCTGTGATCTGCAGATCAGGAGGCAGGACTTGGATTCACAGCACACTCAAGCAGTTGGGTAGTTGTAAGCAATACAGATCGTGGCTTTTTTGCTTGTAAAGCAACCAAACTGCTTTGGGGATTTCTTGTTTGTTTTGATCGATGCATATTTATTCTGCACTTCTCACCCAAACACTGCAGCACATATGGCAGTCGCCAAGCCCTCTCTAATACCTTGACTTGGCACTGTGTGAATTAAAGACAACAGTTTCAGCTTTAAAACTAAACTTCCAGTTTCGTGTAGACACACCCCCTCAGCCCACTCACGTACACTGAACACATTAAAAATACTAACAAGCATATTAAAAAAAATGCTTCTCCATTCCCAGCAAAGAACAGCAGGTGTGCTCTGCTAATTATGTCAACTCCTAACCTACTATTATTTACCAGTGTCAGACACTCAAGATATTAAAAAAACCCCAAACAAACAAAAAAACCCAACAAACCAAACCAAAACCCACAAACAAACAAAAAACCCCGTACACGTAAAAGTTTGAAATATTAGTGAAGCCATCACATTTGCTCATCCAGACAAGTTTATTTTAGTAACTTTTAGCTCCTGAAGACATGAACAGGAAGGAATATCCACACTATGGGATTGTCACAGAACATTTATCACGAAGCTTACAGAATGCATTCTCCACGTTGTCAAAAGTCAATTCCGCAGGAAATACGTTCTGAATTAACACCCTGCAAGACCCAACCACGCAGCTTAAGGACGCTCGCAGACCCTGCGACCTGAACACTACAGCTTTGTTTGAAAGTGAAACCAAGCAGCCTACAAATAATGCTCTATCCCCAGCGCCCAGGGAGGTGCCAAACCCAAACAAGAAGCATAAACGGAGGAGAAGGACGGCTGAGTTTTGAAGTTTTACATTTTATTATCGGCAGCATTATTTATAGCACGACACTTCTACATATAAATCCGCGACCTGCGTTTCTTTTTACACCTAGAAAGCGTATCAAGTTTAGGCAACGAACCCTCGGGTTTCCATTTATTCGCAGAAGTTTGGTAAACACCGGATATTTACGCGAGCGAAGCAGCTGGATACACAAACACACACACACACAAATAAATGCATGCGGACGGCGGACAACACGCGAAACGCGCACTTTCCAGCCCATCCTACGCTGCCTGCTCGGACCTTTTTCCAGCTCCCAAGCCAGCGCGGGGCCGGGAAATGGTGCCGGGTGCGGCTGGGCGCTGGCCCCAGTCGCGGGAGCGATCCGCCTGAGCCCGCCACCCGAGTCCGGCCAACTGGCACCCGCCGGCTACCGGTCTGCCAGCTCTGACTGTAAGTTCGCGCCGCCACGCTCCACGCTCCTTTCCCCCACCCTTCTCCCTCTTTTTTTTTTCGCCCCTTTTCTTCCCTCTCTTTTTTTCACTCCCTTTCCCCCCCTTTTCTTTTAATTTCGATGCTGCTCTCGCTATGCCCCTTTTCCTCGCCCCCTTATATTCCTCCTCAAAGATGCTCTGGGCATGAGAGTAGTATTTGATGAAGAGAGCTAGAGAGGAGGGAAGCATTGGGCGTGATTTTATGTTTTCTGGGGTTTGGATATGGAAGAAGAAGAAGTAATTGAAAAATACCAAAACAAATAAACCCAAAACGAAAGCAAAAAAAAAAAAAATAAAAAAAGAAAAAAAAAAAGGGGGGGAAGACGCCATATTCGATCCGGATGGGGAAGAAAAGGAAAGCCCGATTGACATCGTGGGGCGCTGGGCTCGGCGGCCGCGGCTGTCGCCCTGGCCGGCCTCCGGGCGCTCGGCCGAGAAGGGGAGGGGGGAGCAGAAGATGGAGAAGAAGCGGCAAAGAAGAAGAAGTAAGAAAAGGGTGGGCAGGAGCGGCGGGCCGGGGAGGAAATCAATGGCAGGGCTGCCAGCCAGCCCCGCCGCGCTTTGTATGCATTGTGGCGGCGCACAAAGGCTTGCGGCGGCCGCGGGGAGCGACGCGGGGCTCCCGCGAAGAAGAAGGGAGCTAAGAGAAGAGAGGAGGGAGAAAAAAAAAAAATTAAAAAAAAAATAAAAATCGGCATTGGCCTTTCCCAAGTGGGTTTTGCTTTTCCTCCCCCTTCTTCCCCGGCCCCCCCTCCCTCCAGAAACCATGGCCCAGTGCTAGCAACGCACACCCAAGCATCCGACAAATAAAGGGAAAGATTAAATAGATTACTTTGCCCCGGCAGCTCCAGCAACGTTTGCCTTATAGTCCCTCCAGTTGCTCTTCTTTTTATCCTCGGCAAGGCAGTATAATAGATGCGCTACAGCGCCCGAGCGCTCATGCGCCGGGGGCGCAAGGCCATGTGGGGACCGTAGTCCCGGGCAAGGACAGGGGAGAAGCGGTGGCCGCAGCCGGGACTACAAGTACCCAGCAGCCGGCGGGTCCCCCCCCGGCCCCCTCCCGCCCTTCCCGGGCCGGCGGGGCAGGGGAGAGGGACGGCAGGGTGATGCCTCGGTCAGCGGGACGGCGGGCCGCGAAACGCGGTGCCCCGCGCCGGGAGAACCCCCGGCTCGGTGCGGGCGGGGACCGCGGGGAGGAACCCGCGGGAGGCGGCGGCTGGAGGGTGTCCCCGGCAGAACATGGCCGGGGAAAATCCCTCTTCCCCCTCCCTCCCTCCCTCCCTCCCCGCCGTCGCGCCTCCGCCGCTCTGAAGGTACGGCAAGACCCTTAAAAAGTGCGGCTGGAAACGCGGGACCCACGCGGGGACCGAGTTTTAAATCACAACTGCGGGGAGCTTGGCTTGCTCTCGCTCCCCTCTTTTTTTGTGTTGTTTCTTTTTTTTTTTTTTTTTTAAATCGCGGCTTGCATTGGGTAATGCGCTCTCACATTTATTACGCAACAACTAATACGAGCTGCAATAAAAATAGCCCGCCGCCGATGCACGCTGGAGTAGTAGCTGGCCAAAAAAAAAAAAAAAATCCATCAAGAAAACCCACAACCCGACGTAGTTCGCACTGGTTGATGCATTTCATAATATTGTCAACTGCTGAAAACAACAGAAATTAATCTAATGTATGCAATAAAAACAATGTGAATTTTACCAACACAACACCATAAAAACATCAACAAACACGAGCACTGTTACAGACGCTTCCAAGCAACAGAGCAACACAGCCCATGTCCTGAAGCAAATCCACAAATGCAAACAGAAGTTTAAAAAAAATAGTTATAACCCAAACTATGATTGAATTGCTGCAGGGGAAAAAAAAAAAAAAAAAAAAAAAAAAAAAAAAAAAAAGAGTAGAACCATTGGAAAATAAACGAGGGGAAACATTTGAGTGCCAACACGAAACAAGACAGAGTTAGGGGTTTTTCTGTGGACACGTGCCAACAGAGGCTGCCATGCTGCTGGTACAGACAGCCACACACCCATGCCAATTAATAAGTCAGTTTATTGTAACCATAAGGTGAAGGCAGTTTTACTAAAAAGTCTCATTTCCAGAAGATTAGCTTTTGAAAAACACGAGCAACGGAACTGAAATTTCTCCAGAGGTATGATATCATCAGAAAGACTGGGGTTTGTACAGGCAAGAGGACAGATGTTTAAGAAAATTCCACTTAGCCGTGCTTGTGGCTGCCTGAGGATGGAACCAAAGTTGTGCATATGCCTTAACCAAACCCAAGAAAAAGAGCTTTTTTCCACTCAGCTTCAAGGCTTTGCAAACTCAGGAACCAGAAACTCGCTCACAGCCATGCTGCTCTTGGATATATTTCCTTTGTAAGGCAGTGTGTGAAGTTACATCTACATCAACACCCAAACCCCACTCTAGGTTAGTTTGTGACTTGGACTTCCCTCCTGCCAACTGCTCTTTTTAACTTCAGGTACCCAAAAATCGCTTCGCTGCCCTCCACACCCAGAGCACGTGGCCTCTGTGGGAACACACAGCCTGCAAACAGCCAGAAAAAGGTAAAATCTGGGTCTTCTCAAGGGGCACCATCACACTGGTGTTCACAAACCCGCCCTGTGTCTGGTTGAATGTTCCACACTGCCAGGCTGAGCGAGGAAACCCCTTTGAAACACCACCTGAACTCTGCCCTGCCTACAAGTGTCCTGAATACCAGATACCAGGGATCCAGGGAAGGACTGGATTTTGAACACAAGGCACTTACCACTGTTCTGCTCTATGCCCATTGTCAAGGCAATTCTAAAAGAGCAGAGTATATCAAAGCATCCGAGAGCTGAAGAGAACCAGGTCAGATCTTTTGAATGCACTGTCCTGCTCCAGTACACGCCTGATCCACATGGATAACCAGAGTATGAATTCATGAATGCCATAACATACACAGACACCAAATCGTGAGCATGACCAAAGAGTCCCTAAATGAAAACTGCTGCCGCTCTGGGCTTGGGGGCTGGGAAAAATTGGCAGGCTGAAGCTTTCCAAGGGAGGGGGCAGGGAACAATCGGCTGAGTGTTCATTATGAACACTCGGAAAAACGTACTCCGGGCACTCTAAAGGCTCGTTTTCAGCTGAGCCATAATCTGAAAGCTTGGTTTTTAAATGCACTTATATTTTAGTTTGAGGCAAACTCCTGCAACAAAAATGTGTTGGCTGCAACGTAAGACTTGGCAGAGCCATAAGGAGCTGAACAGGGGTCTCCTAATGCAAAGTGTTCAGCAACCCCAGCAACGTGCAAAGAGTGCAACAGGAGAGCAGAGTGAAACTGGGGAGTGCAGGCAGAAAGGCAGAGAAAAGAAAAGCCAGAGAGCATAAACATGTGAGAGCACAAAGCCCTCCAAGCTGGCAGGGCACTCACCTCACGGAGGAACATGCACAAGTTAAATTGGAGTTTGATCCTCACTGCAAATCCACATGCAAGACCAGCTTGTCAATGAAGGGTGTATCCTAACTGCAACCCAAAAAGCAGTCTCCAATTACACCTTATCCTTCCTTATCTCACCCAGGGTGGGTGTAAGACAAGTTTCATACCAAATTGTAATGTTCATTATGCATCAGGCTGAACAGGCAAAACAGTTCACATGGGAAACTGTCCCCAGAGGTTTCACCACTATCAGCTTTCAACCTGGAACACACGAGTCACTCACACACCTACCTGCAGATCTGCAAACTTGTGCTTGAAGAACTCCACTGCATCCTCCAAGGGATTAGGAAAGCAAACATATTTTGGGATCCCTAAAGCCTTCTTTATGCAAGGCAGTGAGTTTAGATAATGGTTTAGCCAAACAGGCACAGGCTGACTCAGTTTGAATAAACCCCATAGGAGGTACAGTGAATCAAATCAGAACAATTCAAGCTCAAATTACCTAGCCCAAAGTAAAAGAACTTCAGCCAAGGAAAAGATAGTTGCAATCTCTAAATTAAATTCTGAACTGATTTTGTCACACAGTTTCACACACGAGATATAACAGTCTGCTGCTTCTGAAACACCTTAACATCAGCTTTTCCAAAAAATGCAAGACTACAGCAGCAGCTTTTTACCTCCTCCTGCTCCCCGAGCTCAGAGGAGCATCCAAGATTCACCCAGAGCCTTTTGATTGGCCTCTGTGGTCTCTTATGTTGCACCTCCAGTTACCCAATTAGTACCTTGTTAACGAACACCTGCCATGTATTTATTCCTCCTGTTGCAGTATTTTTAACCCATAATGAACAGTGGTACCAACATGCTTCTCAAAAGCTTTGTGCACAGGCTTCAACAAGAAAACTGTTATTTGTGCAAACCCACGTGGTTTTCAGGGCTGTTAAACACTGGCAGTTTTTGCTTCTCTGCCCTCCGAGTCTTGATTCTTTTCAAAACAAGAGGGGATGGAAGCAGAAAAAGGGAGATATTTGTTTCTGAGATGAGTTTTGTGAGGATTGGCCACACACAGTGCCCGGTGTGACTGCACCCAACAGTATTTAACAGGAATCAAGGGCTGCTGGGAACACTAACCTAGAGCACCAATTTTCTGACCTTTGCTGTAGGTACTAACTGCAAGCTTCTGATTTTTACCTCACCATTCAGCACCTGTTTCACCATCAAAACCACAGTTCCCCACTGCAGGGGAGCTCTTTGTTAGTATTTGCACTTGGGATTTCCAAGTGGAGAAGGGTGCTGAAGGGGTATGAATACCAAACTGGCATTGCATTCTGGCCCTCCATCTCTGGGCACATCCCTAGGCACGCTGTACATGCACATGAAAGGCTGATTTGAGCTCCACACGCCTCCAGGCAGCCCAATTTGGCCATTCTGACTATTTTGTCAGCCATCAGCCACCATGGGCTCCAAGAGACCTCACACAGCATCAGACTCACAGCAGCTGCTTATCTCTAGAGTGGATGTTAAATATTATATAAAGGTAATTTATTCAATAACAGCCATGTTCGGGACAAAGACATAATAGTGCCCAAATAGAAGATTGCTTAAAAACGTGTGGTAAATATCTGGGATTATGTGATTCTGATCATCCCAGTGGCAGGGAGAAGGGTGTTGAACACAAGGGGATAAATGCTCTTATTGCAACAAGAGAGTCATCTTTTCCAATGATCATCTTCACTGTAGTGGCAGGATTTCCTCGATTGAGTAAGTGCTATTCAGTAAGTTAAGGATGACAGGACTAGGGCAGAGGTTTGAAACAATAATTGCAGTTTGTTCTTCTGTAGTACCTTTCATCTGAGGAATTCACAACAATGCAATAATCCTCCTAACAGCTTTTGTAGGTAAGGAAATATTATGACTCCTGTTTTTCAGCTGAGAAAGCTGAGAGGGAATATGATGATGCAGAGAATCATGGGCAGAGTCAGAATTGGGACTCAGCTCTTCTGACTCATTCTTTGTAATTCTGAGAGCCTGGACACACCAGTTGGTGAGGCCACCCTGGTTACTTATGCCTGGGAATGCGACAGTCCCTGTAGAACCTTTGTCTCTTTGGTGTTCACTCTTCATCTGGAAAAGGATGAGCAGAGCCCCCAGACTGGGACCCCAGGAGCCAGGATGTCTACAATCCCCCAAAGGTACAGCACTGTGCTATTTGAAGGGAAGATAGGAAAGAATTGAGTGATCCAAGACCCAAAGGATCTTGTAAGTGTTCACCTGCAAAGAGCAGTTTTGATTATGATCTGAACGGTGGCCTGGAGACAGACAATATCTAATGAAGGGTCCAGAGTGGATTTAAATAATGTTCTTCCAGACTGGAAGTTCTCAAACCAGAGAAACAGAGGTGAATGGCTTCCACTGCAAAGGACAGGAAGGGCATGAAGAGCCCACAGAATATTCTGTCTGACCTTGGTGAGTCTTATCAGGATGTAGCTTTACTTGGAGGAGCTGGAGACTGGGCTACTGTGGGCTAAGGTGTATATGTATGGAAAGAAGCAGAGCAAAGGCCTAAACTATTGTGGGAGAGAAGAAAGGGACATGACCACAGAGTTTGGGAATGGAAGAGAAAATGCCCAGCCAACAGGGCTATGTATCTTTGGCCACAGTAAATATGTTTCTTTGGAAATTACCTGTATCTAAATGGTTTTGTTAGACATTCAGTGGGATGAATGAACCCAGCACCTGCTGGTAGCACAGTGGTTTGCACAGGTAAGCAAGCCTGTGAATAGTGGGTGCTACTGTGTTGGCAGTTTAAACCAACAGACTCTAGAACATGCCAGATTTCAGCTGGCCAAAGCCCTAAAGGATTCCTGTGTGTTTCCTTACTTTTCCTCCTGCCTTCCTACAAAGACTGGAGAGAACACTGCAGAGATGCTCTAAACAAATGGTGACTCTTTCAAACATCTTGATTTGTAGATTACAATGAATAACAAATAGATTTCACTAGAACTGTTTCAGGGGTGTGAGTCCATTGTACAGAACTGCCCGCTCGCTGTGGTTGCAGCCATTTGCACCAGCCAAGAACGGAGCTCCTGATTCACACAAGTGCTGAGAACCTGCTGCTCCAGTTGAAGTGGCTGGGAGAGGCAGGCTGTCATCACGTCTGGCAGTGAGACCGTGTGTGACTCAGTCTGGGGCTCTCAAATCAGCAGCCTTTATGCATTAGCTTGGCTGTGACTTCCACCGGGGGGAATTTGCACTGAATGATAGAGTGCAGCACACTGCAGGAACTCCAGTCCTCTGGGAAGTCCTACCTGCTCTTCAAAGTCATGGGCTGTTTCTTAACAGGTCTTTACTAATGGGGAGTTTGATACATGCAGTGTTCAATGATATTACATTGAAAGCATTTCTTCAACTTCCATAGGCCCCTCATGCCCAGACTAAGTGTGTCTACACATCCCTCCCAGGCCAGAATGAATCCAATCCCACCTGCTCTCCACTGGGGTAAGATTTCCTAGTTTTAAATGAACAAATGTTGGCAGTGATGCAAGCAGAGCTCGTAGTGTAGTGGGGGAGGTAGAAATATCATCCTGGAAAAGGTTCAGTGTTTGTTTTTAAATCCCAGAAGAAACATATGAATGTGATGTATCTGGGATTTAGAAAAAAAAACACGTAGCAGCATGTTAGGAACCACCCAGAAACAGCTCTGTGTCAGGGATCAGCTGCTCTTTAGAAGCCTAAAAGATGCAGCAGGTCTCTCGTGACTTCTTCCTCCCTGTTTCTTGAGTAGAGTGTAACACACTGCAAGTCTGTTCTGCGCCTCCTCTGTCTGCTGAGAGGCCCAAGCAAACAAAACTCTGAGCTGAGATTACCAATTGTGCCAAAACATAAACATGGACTCACACAGCTTGTGAGCTTAGTGCCTTATTACTCACCACTACAAACGTAAGCACGAGCTGGTTTGCAGCAGGCAGGTCTAAAGAGCAGGTCCAGCGTGTACTGAATTTACTGGGAGCTTTTCCACAAACAATAATGTCCTTTGAATCAAATCTGCAGGACTGGGTTAGTTCTGGTCTTGGCAGAACCTGTGACAAAATCATATACGTTAGTCATAGCAGGAGCCACGACCCCAGCTCTGTTCCTGACACCCTAAAGCCATCCCAAAAGCAGGTACTTCCTTCCAATCTGAGCCACTCGTGGACTGTTCTTTCCCTTTCATCATTATGGGAAGCTGCTCTCCCCCAAAAAACCTCAGACAGGTGTCTTTTCCAGTGCACTTGGCAGGTCACCAAGTTCAGGCTATTTTGAACCAAATGGAATGGAAGGTTTTGTGAGGGAGAAGCCTGCCAAGCCCCACTCTTTTCCAGAGAGGGAATTTGGACAGATGTCACATCCTGCTGATCCCAGCTGTGGCAGCCTGGCTGGAGGAGCAAGAAAGACCCTCACAGATGACTCATAACCATCAAGTTAAATTTCATCCAAATTCCTGTCCATGCAAAGCCCTGGGTCCTCACTTTCTGCAGTCCCAAAGCAATGTCCCTGCTCTCCGAGTTGTCTTTCTCTGCGAGCTCCATGCTGTCAAAAACCCAGCCTGGCATGGGATCAGGTACTTGGCCAAATGGGAGTTTATCACACTTGAAACTTGTTTAAAAATATCTCTATTACACTTAGAAGCTAAAGGGTTGTTTAGGACTACAATTAATTTGTAATTTTTCAGGTTCCAGAGAGATATTATTCATCATAGGTGAGGGGTTTTATACATGCATATATCTTTATTATCCATATACATAAATATATCAGGCAAAAATTTCCAAAGCAGACACTGAGAGGCAAAATACAAACTTTTATCTCCAATATGAAAGAAACAAAAACACTCTGTCACAAGAAAGTTCTATAAATAGCATTATACTGCTGATTTGATTTGTGTTCTCTCATTTGACTTCATATTTATTTTTTAAAAAACTGAAAACTTTAAGTTAAAACCATGTGGAAGAATCACCAGCAGAAACCAAACTGGATTTATTTCTTAATATTCTTCTGGTGACTTTGCAGTATCTTCTAATTGTTTTACCTCCCTGAATTTAGAAGGCAGGGCTAATTTTCCAGACTTCTGCTGTGGGATTCCAGCCTGAAGAAGAAGGGCCTTGGCTTCACTCTACCACAGGATTTTTTCAGCTTTTCTTTTCCTTTCTCGACTGCCACTAGAATTTTTGGAACCTAAATATCTTCCTGTGTTAAAGGGCCAGTAGATGACACGCGTCTCTTTTTCTTCCCTCTTAAATGAAAGCAGACTGCAATGTGTGCTGTGTGGGTTCAGAAAAACCTACTGCTCTCCAGAAAAGTGCTTAAACACATCTTTAGTTGTAAGTTGGCTGTTTGGGCTTAATGAATTAAACACTTTTCTGAGTCAGGACTTTTGTGTGCCGATACACTGAGAAAACATCTTACATACTCTTGCCTTAGATATCTTCTCACCCAGGCAAAGATTACAGTGTTAAATGGCTCACACATCAGGCTCGTGCATTACAGAATCATTAAGGTTGGAAAATATCTCCAAGATCATCAGCTCCAACCTCTGACCGTCGCTTTGTCAACCAGACCAGAGCACTGAGTGCCACATCCAGCTGTTCCTTGGACACCTCCAGGCGTGGTGATTCCACCACCTCCCTGGGCACTGGTGATTCCACTCCCTCCAATGTTTAACGGCAGTTCCTCACATTCCAGTGTTTAACAACCCTTTCCATGAGGAAATTCCTCCTGGTGTCCAGCCCCAACCTCCCCTGGCACAGATTGAGGCCGTGTCCTCTCGTCCCGACCCGTGTTCCCTGGGAGAAGAGAGGCTGATTCCTACCTTACAGAGGTTATTACAGACATCATATAGACATTATTATAAGCATTATACGGACATTATAGACCTTATTACAGGCATTATGGAGACACTGCTGCCGTGTGAATTTGCTTGCTCATACCGCAGCAGCTTTCATCGGAGGTTGCTGGCTGTGTGCATCCAACCTGCACTCATGCACCCCAACGACACCCAACCCTCTCCCAGCCGGGCTCAACGGAGCTCCAACGACCGCAGAGCCGTGCCCGCCCATTCCCTGTCTGTCTGTCTGTCTGCGTGTCCGCCTGTGCCCGGTTTCCCCGCACGGGCTGGACGTGACCCGCACCCACGGGGGCCACGCGGCACAGGCAGCAGCGGGCGCCGGGAGCGAAGGGAGCGAAGGGAGGGAAAACCGAGGAGAAAAGGGAGGGAAGGGAGGGAAAGGAAAGGAGGGGAGGGAAAAGAAAGGAAGGAGGGAGGGAGGGCAGGGGCGGGCCGGGGCCCCGCCCGTGCGCTCTTTTTGGCTCTCGGGCCGCGCCGTAGCGCTCCCGGGAGAGAGCGGCATTGTGCGGCTCCCGCCGCCCCGCGCAGGGCGCCCTTGCCCGCCATTCCCCGCCTGTGGGCGACCCGGGACCCCCGCCCGCCGCGTCCCCCCTCTCCCCTCCGCGGCCGCGCTCCTTCCCTCAGCCGCGGAGGAGGCGGCGGCCGCCCCCCTCCTCCTCCTCCTCTTTCCTTCCTCCTCGTCCTCCTCCCCTTCCCCATCCCCCCCGAGGTAAGTCACCGAGCAGCCCGCGGGCTCCTCTCCGGGCTCCTCTCTCACCGGCCTCTCCATCTTTCCCGCCACCGCCCCGGGGGGGGTTTCTCCCCTCACGGCCGTTTGCGCCCCGCGCGCGGGCGCCGCCGCCTCCCTCCCCTCCCTTTCCCTCCGCTCCCCTTCCCCTTCCCGCAGGCGGCGCGCGGAAGCCCGCCCGCCCCCCCCGATACCCCCGCCTGCAGACCCCCCCCCGCCTTCCAGAATTTGGGCATCCCCACACCCCCTTTCCAGAGCGAGGGCGGGCAGGGAAGGGGCGTTCGGGGGCCTGGGAGGAGAGGAGGGGCCCAGGGGTGTTATCGGTACCGCGTGCCTGGTGGCGGGGGATGCGCTGGGATGTGCTGGGAGAACCCCCCCCTTCCCCCGGGAATGGAGCCCCCCTCCCGGGAATGGAGCTGCTTCCCACGGGAATGGAGAGACCGTCCTGGGAGTGGAGCCCTCCTCCCGCAGGGCCAGGCAGTCGGTGTCCACGCTCTCCCCAGCGCCCAGATTAGCTCCATGTGAAAAGGAGCAGATCCGCGTTAGGAAAGTTTAATTTCTCGTCTGGCCCCCCCTCCCAGATTTGCCCGGGGAGGGTGTGGGGTCTCCCTCAGTGGAGATACTCTGGACGCAATCCTGTGCCATGTGCTCTGGGATGGCCCTGCTTAGGCAGGGAGGTGGGAGCAGATGACCCAACCTCGCCCATCCTGGGGTTCTCTGGTCTCCCCTGTCGTGCACAAGGCTGGGTAGTGCCCGCAGGCAACTGGTAGCACCCTGGTCTGCGCCCTCCCGGGAAGGAGATGCTTGGAATGCCAGTGGATCCTGAGAGCAAATGCTCTTGCTCCCAAATGTGCTGCCACCAGCAAAAGGAGAGGCAGCAGTGCTGGGATATTGTGAGCGCACTTGGAAGGCAAATCCTGACAGTGTGAGCTGGGGGTGATTCTGATCCTGAGCTGAAATGTAGCTGAGCTGCAGTGGAGATTTGTTCCCTCTGCAGCGTCAGCCCTGATTACCAAATCCTGGCACTGCACTCCGTCAGGTTTTGTTACAGAAAGCGAGTGTGGAGGGACTGATCCAAGGCTGCTTCCAGTCAGGGGGAAGTCTTGGGTGTAGAAGGGCATAGCTTGATGGTCAAACTGTTGAGGAGGGAAACATGAGACCAAAATATTTGCATTTTGAGGTGAAAGGAATCTAGCAGGGTCTTAAGCTTTGGAAGTGATGGCTATTTTTTGTCTTCGTTGTGGTCCTGTGTTCTCTACCTTAATAAAATAAAAAGGCCTTGGACTGTTCCTTCCATCTTTCATGCAGACTTTTGTATTTACTGTGTACTAAGTGCTTGCTAAAAGTGTTTTGGGTTATGTGATACAGAAACCCTGCCACACCTCAAAGCTATTGTGCGTTATTTCTGTTTGGAGTGGGGCAGAGTGGGAAAAAGCTTTCCAAGGAGCGATCAAAGGACATGGCTTGGGTTCTTGGCCTTGTGCATGAGTAGGTCTGAAGGCCTAAAATACTGCTGTGTTGCTCAACAGATAATAAACAGGGTTTTCATACTTGTTTCTGGCAATCTGCACTTAGACCATTCTCACTCTTCTGGCTGCTGAGTATCTTTTTGACAGCTAATGAGAATATTTTGTTTTCCTTCCAGGTTTTCCTTTCAGTGCGGTTCTCCTCTCCGTGGCAAGAGCTGCCTTTTGAAGCAGCACATTCATTCTCCCCTTCAAGCACCCATAAGTCTCATTTGCCAGCTCCAGAACCATGGCAACAGAAGAAAAGAAGCCAGATGCTGAATCCACCAAAACACAATCTACTCCTTCCTCCTCCACCAATCAGAGCAAGGTGTGTGTGGGGCTCCAAACAATATCCCTGTAAATACACATGGAACTACCTGCATATTGAACAGCCAGGCCACAATTGAGGATTTGAATTGTCATGTAGATTAAGATCTCCATGTCTCTGCTCCTGCTGTTGTGCTGAGGATTTTATGGGAAAAGTGGATGGAGTGTAGGCTCTCCTGTAGTGCTCGGGGTCTTTTTGGTCCTAAGGAAGTTCTTGCCTCTTGTCACTCTGAGTGTGACAAAGACAGGTTGTTTGTATCCTTGGAATGCCTGGAGGTGACTGGAGAATCAGTGAATGTGTGATCATAGTTGCAGCGTGGGGAAACAGTTATTCAGGTTCTTTGAAGCCTGCAGATGCTCAAAGGAGATGCTATTCTCTTACCATGAAGCCTTTGCAAAGGGTGGAAAGGGTAAAAGTGGGATTTCAGGGGCACGGAGAAGTTGGCCTGTGATTTAATTCATGGTAGAGGTGAAAACTGCAAACACTTAAAAGCGCTGCAAGGATCAATAACCAAGAGTGTTATTTTGAACTGCCAAGCACTTTGTGGTTGCACTGCTGGATTATTCTCAGCTGTTTGTTATTGGCTTGGATGGAATTCATATCAAGGATGAGTTGGTGTTGTACTTGAATCATTAAGGCCCTAGACAGAAAGGGAGCTTGGAATAAGAAGGGAAGAGGAATGTAAATGCTGGGATCTCTGTTGTGGTGAATATCCCCATGATCCATTCCTGTGTGCTGACCAGAGCTGGTCACTGAGATGCTAAATTTGGAATTTAACTCATTCACATGCATTTTTCTTACAGCCTGCTCCAGTAAAACCAAACTATGCTCTGAAGTTCACATTAGCAGGACATACAAAGGCAGTGTCATCAGTCAAGTTTAGTCCTAATGGAGAGTGGCTTGCCAGCTCCTGTAAGTATTGCTTGCTTTTTAACTCATCTCAAACATGCAAACATAAGCCTTGGAGAAGGGCCTGCCTTTAGTGTTGCCTCCATCAGGTAGAGAAGGGGTGTAGTGTCATGGTTTTTCTCAAAGGAGTGATACCAAAGCTGTCAGTCTTTGAAATAATCTGATTTGAGCTGTTTAAGTTCTGTTACTTTGAACACTGGATCTTCTCTGCATTGCCAGGTTGGAGAATCCCATTCAGCTTGCTTTATTGAGCAAATGGGCAAAACCAGGCAGGGTTCTTTCCCTGTGCAAAGGAAACCCTTGGGCTCTTCTGTATTGCTTAAGCTTTTAATTTAAACTTTGTGTCCAGTATCTCCAGGCAAAGCTGAGCTCTGGGAAATAAGGAAGGTGCTTCTGGGCTGTAAGTGTGATACAGAGGACTGGCCACGTGCTTCTGTCCTGTGTGCCTGTGGTGTTTGGTAGTCAGAGCCTTTGGTTACCCCAGTGAAATGCAGAAGGTTGTTATAAATAGTATTTCACTTCTTGCTCTCCTAAGTGATAGAACGAGTCCTCTTCCTGTTAGCTTTGGTATTTCATAATATTTTTTTTTTTGGTGTTCAGCATTTGACAGCTTTCCCTTGAAAATGTGTTTAGATGACCCTCAGTGATCCAGAGAGGATCCATGTATAAGGAAAAGGGCAGTTGAAAAGGGCCCCTGGAACATCTTCCAGACATGGGAATGACTTGGGGCTTTGACTTAACTGCAGACAGCCTCGATAAGACCAGTGCAGTGTGCCACATATAAATCATTCTTATGTTCAAGTGTCCTCATAAGAGTCCCCCTCTCTCCCCTGCCCAGGTTTTCCAACCTCTACATCTGGCAAATATCAACTTTTTTCTCCGGAGTACGTTTTGCAAGTTAGCATGGATAATATGTTTGGGTTTCTGCAGGCATTAATTCATTCCAGCTTGTGGTGTGATTTTAGCTCTTTTTGGGGCAAAAGCCTTTCAGCATTCCCATGGACCAGCACTGTTTTACTAGAGGCAATCTAAAACAAAAGTAGAAACCCAAGTTGTCATGAGAGAAACTAAAGCTGCTGGAGACTCTCTGCATTCCAGGCAGCTTATGTAACCTCAGCTGCTGCAGCCTGGCCTGTAGGAAGCTGTTCTTTACCAATTCCATATCACCTTATTCATGGAGGTCTACTCGGGGAGGGAGAACTGCCCAGTGTCTGCAGAGATGGAGTTACTGTATTTCCTCCCACCTGGAAGGGGCAGCTCTGCCCGTGCTGTTAATCTCTGAACTGCCACATTGTTTTCCAGCTGCTGACAAACTCATTAAAATTTGGGGAGCGTACGATGGCAAGTTTGAGAAAACAATATCTGGTCATAAACTGGTAAGTGTAAAGGGGTTGCTATGTGAATTTACTTCTAAAGAATTTTGCTTTCTCCTCCTCCAGAAGTTTCTATTCTGTGTTAGTTTGACTCGTGTAAAAGGCTTGTTCTTCAGTCTTGCTTTGTAGTTCTTTGTTTATACAGTCCTGGAATTGCTGGAGTAATGTTGGGAATATGGGTGAAGTGCAGGCTGATGATGGAGTACCTGCTTGCTCCCTGCCCAGGCAGCTCCTTCTGTCCCTGAATTTAAGGAGAACCCACCTCAGACACGGGGCAGGGCATTCCTGGGTGAAAATCCATGTAACACTGTGTCCTGTTCCATCTTTCCTTTGTGTATGGAACAAAATGACTTGCCTTTTAAGGAGACTGAATTTTTCTTGTGGGTTTGCCTACATAAACACAACACTTACTCATTCTGCAAAGTTCTAAAGAAAACACAAACTCCCAAACCCTTTGGTGTTGTTTCTTAAAGTTTCTCAAGCACTAAAGTTTTATGAGCAGAAATGAAGATTTACCAATAGAAAAA